TTACAGTGGCCACCGTTGGTTACAACGCGACTACTTGAAATTAATCATTTTTTATATCAAAAACAAAATATACACAGACACTTACACAACAAAACTAAATACCTACGTCATTGCCATTAAGCTGAAGATTTGAAAGTCAATTTATTGGTATAAATGTATTATTTGTATTATTTTTTTTTTTAAATTAATCAATCTATTTAAAATATTTCAGAATCATTTTTTGTGGGATTTTAAAAAACAATATTGAACAAAATGTTTTTTTAGTGTTATCAAACATAGAAACTGTTATCATAATATTTAAAGTATAAGTCAAACATTGGAATTACGAGTACATTTGTATAGTACTAAAACAACATATCGTGAAAAATATGTTTTTAAAATATATCCCGCCAAAACGTTAAATGCTTTTAAAGTATCATTTTATAAATATAAACGAAGTTTTAGAGCATTAATATTTTTGTGTTTTTGCTGTAGGATATTGAGAACTACTAGTCTTCTACAAGAAACCGGTGCATGTCGAAAAACCGAACGCAAGTTGTAACTGCTTTGTAAACACATTTTTAAAAGATATAGACACAACATTTGTTAGCATTCGGAACGTTAACATGGCACGTTATGTAGACACAAGTGTGTGGATTGGAAAATGAATGTGACGCGCCAAATTCGCTCGGTCGGTTGATAAAACTTGTACAGTTTTTACAAAAACATTCAAAACAAAATCGAAAGTGATTCGTTTCTTAAAAAAATGTCTATGAAAACGGTTTGGACTGTTTGAGAAAATCGCAATGCAAAACCACTAACCAACTAGGTATTCTGAACGCCACTTTAGCCATACATTGTGGCGTTGAAGTGTTTATCTTCTTGACGAAGTAAGAGTGACCGTACGGGCGACGACGTACAACGGCCAAGTCTGTCACGTATGGCATGTTTGTTTACAAAAGGTAAAAAGCTAAGTACAATAAAAAAAAAAATAGGAAAAAACGGAGTCGCGGTGTTTGTTTACCGAAAGGACGGAAACGTTTTAAAAATATTTTTTTTCCCGACCTGATTATGGTAAATTGTAAAATGTGTTATTGGACATATTTTCCTGATGTCAAATTATCATTTTCTTTCTACGCCGCATAACCTTTTATTTTAATGATTTATTACCAAATTTTGCGCTTTTATTTCACTACAAAAACATACATGTTTTTCCCCTCGACAAAAAACACTTGTATCGACATTATCATCTGAATGTATAATACAATATTATTACCTGTCAGCTAAAAAATAACTATTTGAAAAATTATGTGTATATTACGTACATTAGACATATTCTGTACTATATATACGGTACGTAGTTATAATTTTTTTTTTTTTAAATACGTTTACGTTATCATCTCGAATCTCTACATTATAATATCTATTATAAAAACAGATTTCTTCAAAAATAGTTTTACGCTTTAAACACGCAATAAATTGTATGTACAACATTGTGTCTTGTTTCCTAACTGAGTAATAAAACTACAGCATGAAAGAAAAATAAAACCCCTAACCTTCGTCCAGAGATTAGGTAAGGGAATTTTTTTATGATTTCTTTACAGATAATAGGTAGGGATATCCAATAATTACTTAAATAGAAATTTTTTTTTTATCTTAACTTTCCATTTCTCAAAGTAAATTTTTTTCTATTTGCACACTTGATGTTGTTTTGATAGAAAAGGGATAACATATATATATATATATATATATATATATATATATATATACTATTTAACCTAGAACATATACTGTAATTATTGGGAATGAGGTAAGCAAATTTTAAAGGCTTTCGATATAAAAGTCTAGGCTGAAATCAACCGAGACATAAGATCTTGTTATCATAAGATTATTTAAAAAATGTAAAAAAAAAAGATCGAAGAAGTAGTATTGTTTGCTCAAACAGACGCATATGAGTGCGATTAGTCAAATGAGCGGGGAAATGGTTTGTTTTTCTATTGCAATTATTATTATTAAGCTAAGCCGTAAAGTTGATAATCGATGATATTTTTTAACGACAATCGTTTGATAAGAAAACTAGTAGAGTACACTGTCCACAGTTATACGTTTTATAGATTAAAACTTATACTTCTGGGTACTTGATTTTTTGTTGAGCATAATGTAGTGTTCATATCGTATTTAATAATACATAGTACGTAAAAACGTATGAAAACAATTACTTTTGGCTTAAGGAGCCTAAATCTATTATGTCTATACTTATGTAATTACAAGTAATTTAAGTAAGTAGCACTATGCACATAATTGTTATATTATATTGTCCGTTAATGATTTAAGAGAGTTCGAGTTTAATTGCTTCGTAGGGTCCTAAATCTTCTGCGCTATTAATGTTTGCTCTGTGCGACGCGTTTAAAAGCGACAAATTTAATCATCAAAGAATCTGTATTGTAATGGTACATTTAGAATAAGAAACTTTGCAAAATTAAGCGTACAGAGGTAGCCAAATTATAATAGTTAACGATACCATTATTATCGATGACACTTAGCGGTCATGTTAAATATGATAATATAGGTAATAACAACGAACTCTATAGTATAGTGTTTACCTAGAGTTAACAAACATAATATGTATATTTTGTTGGAGCGTCTGCCTAGTTTACAATAATTCGTGTACATATTATTGTAATAAACTATACGAGAGAACGTGTTCGTTATTGTTACTTATCTGACCTAATGCCGTTTGAGGTCGGTCAATGTCGATAAAAAAACAGATTGGAATTGCGTTAGTCCAAAGATATTGTCAAAACGCTAATCAACAACATTAGCCGACGCACAGTAGGAATAATAAGATAATTCAAAATTGTTATTCACATTTTTTTTTAACAATGTGATTAAATGAAGCGCAGATCTGTCCGTTTAGTACCAAAATAACGCGATGAGTAAATTAACAACTATTATTGTAATTAAGTCGTAGATATAAAATAAATGAGTATTTAAAATTACAAGACTCTAGAAAGTCCTTCATGACGGAAAATTGTTTTACCGACGTGATTGCCACAACAAAGGCGCTCAGTGTTACGGCAACTACACTGTGCTATACACGGGTTTATGCATGTTAAAAAATATACTTCAGCTATCAGTTTCAGTTTTATAGGAGAATATATTTAGTAAACACTCAATGTCAAGAATTTTTTTATTTTCAATAGAACAACAGTCGTTTTAAATACAAGCGGTGTAGGTAAAAAAAAAGGGCTCAGCAATTACGTTTTCGTCGAATTAAAAACATGTATTTAGGTGTAAGATCATGTTTTTTTTACAAAAGAAAAACTCCTATTTTTTGTAAAATTGTATAAAAAAACCACATTTACCTTCTCAAAAGGTCAAATAATTTTTAGCTCCGGTTTAGATGAAATTTAAATAAGCAGCACAATAAATAATAATTGACCAAAAAGTCATTATCTTTTTATAATATTTTAACGGTCAATTGAAATGATTCTGAAAATTCTTATTGTACACTCGAATTTCTATTATACCAACATCTATGTTATATAATATTAATAAAAGTTAATTATAATGAAACCTACCTTGTGTGCTGTCGCCTAAACGTTCCAAAATCAAATCTACAAAGAACGATACAATTATATATTGTTATACTTTGTTTCGTATAGTAAACTGTCGACTGAATATTTTACAATTAATTTATAAGGGGTTTTCAAACGTAAGTTCTACTGAATTTACTATTCCAGCAGCCAGCTAATACATCTCAAAGACATAATATTCGAATTAATTTTTTTTAAGTTAAACATATTCTGCATAATCATTGCAGTATAATTTAGAATTATTTAACTTCAACACTAGATTTATATGTTGATGAGACTACACCAAAAATATGAACGTGTCAGCTAGCTCCCATGAAAAACAAATCGATTAGTGTGTTGATATTAATTAATTATTTACATCAATCTGAGAAGACGATAAGAGTTAAACTGTTTCATTGATAATTACTTTTATTATATAAAACAATATACCTAGGTTTGTTTATTATCACAAATAGATTAGTGTTTGAAATTGTTATGTATAAGTAAAACGATATAAAATAATGCGGATGATAAATCTAGTCTGTTCTCATATAATCAATTCAAACTCAACACTATTATAAAGAATCCGAATACAATATGACGTTACTGGCCCCATTATAGCTACATATATTATTTCTACATTATTTATATTTATAATGTACGTTAATGAATGACATAGGAATTCAATAATTTCGATCAGTTAAATATATAGAAAAAAAAGAAGCGTATAAAACTTAATTGTTGTTATTATAGTGTTGATACGAAGATGATATTATGTAAATGGTTTATTTTGTGTATATCTGTGTAAGTGTGTGTCTAGAAGCCTTTTTATGTACATTTTTCACTTTCTTGAGATGAATCCTTCTATCGATCACATAACTTGTCAACTTAATAGATTAATAATAATAATTGTTGAAATCCACTACCGATAACATAATACAATTAAATGCAAAAAATATTATTTATAATAAACAATTTCTATCTATCAGTGCAGTATGAGTCACAATTGTTTAACAGATTTGCGTATATTTATAATAGATTAGAGGCAAAACAGTAAAACCCTGATGGCTCACACTGTATAATGGCGAAGGCCACTAATACTAGTAATATTATTTACTAATATTTTATAATTTATACTTATTTTTTTTTATAACAAAAAAGACATCGACTATAAAGGTCATTAGCCAGAATTGTATACTTATTATTTACGGATATTTTACACTTTCCATCCGATTACAAAGTTCGTAGTAAAGATTATGAAGTTATATTCGTATAAAATTATTAAAGTAAAGTTTTTTCGGCCAACTTTCGAAATGAAGTAGGCTATATTTTTATTGGATAACGCCTGACGCCGAGACCTGTAGGCTATTGTTTAAAAGTCTAATGTCAGCTAATACGCGAGTTTCCATTACAACCCGTCAATTCATAAAGACATTCGATGCTTACCTGGCCCTGAGATTGAATAAGCTTGCCACGTCTTCGTTGCTCGTAACGCCGTTTTCGTCCGTGTCGTCGACAATGATTTGAGCCACTTGTGTCCAATCGTTGACGTGTCCCTTGTACACTATAAAAGTGTGCATGTACTCGGTGAGATCGTCGAAATCGTCGGTTGCGTAGTTGTCGACGGGGGCCTCTTGCTGCTGACCCGGGACGGTGGTGGTACCACCACTGTGGATACCTTTCATCTTGGGCGCCATCGACGGCTGTGCGTTTGAGTTCCTCCCGGGCGGCTGCGGCGGTGGTTCACGGACGAACTGATCAGAACGACCGTGAGTGCCCACGCCGCCGCCGCTGCGATATCCGGTCATCGAGGCAAAGGACCGGCGCTCGTTCTCGTTCTGCATGTCCACAACGAACAGCACGGTGACCACCACCAACGACAGGCAAAAGCCGACCGCAATACGATCACGGAGCTTCATGATGGTGAGTGCGCGACGCTGGACGCATCGAACCTGCTGCACACGGCTAACGAACCGACAGCGTCGGTCGTACGGTGAGACGTACGACGGCGGCCGTTGAGTGCCTTTTGCCGCGCCCCGCCACGGACGAGCGCACGTGTGTTTGTACAAGTGTTTCGCGCTTTTATTTTACGCCGATTGTCGTCGTTTGCCGCGTACGACCGCTAAACACTGTTCTGCGACCGCTCCGCTCCGTTGGTTGTACACGTATACAAGACGTTTAAACTGAACGCACGCGACTTATCATCTGCCCGCTGACTGGCTCGTGTTAAAGGTCTGCCACAGCCAATGACGTCGCTGCGCCGTCGCTGCCGACTTTGACGTTGTATTCGTTGTTGTTGTAATCGTTCTGGCCTTTGTTCGACAAAGGACCGGTCGCGTCATGACCGCCTACGACAGTATTCGACCGCCGTTGAACACCGCGTGACTTAATGCACAGCCGAGCCGGTTACACTTATTGTACGACCGGTCACCGGCCGTTCGATAATATCTCAGCACTGAAATCCAAACGGTCCTAGACAAAATAAAGTGGACTATTATTATTATTATTGTTGGCATCGGTTTTCCGAAGTATTAAGTGTATATTTAGTAGCAAAGTATTATCAAATTACAAATACTGTTAGTAAAGTTCAATAATTATTCCTAATAAAATTTTAGATGGATGTAATTAGCAAAAAGTGAAATTAAAATTATTGACTTAATACAAACGATTCACAAAGTACCTTACATGTAATAATATAATTTTAGGTGGATAAAATTAGAATTTTGAGTTATTGAAGTTTCGAATTGAAGCGTCTATATAAACACAAACGCCCTATCTCCGGTCAGTTTCCGCGATGGAAAAATAACTGTAAATTCGTATGAAATGTAGACAAATTAATCGAAATTTTATTAACAACTCAATGTTTTTCTTGGATTTGACACACGTTTTTGTTGATACGATGCCTTGATGCGCGCTACACACTTTATGTAAATGACCTATTTCGATCATTAAACATTCGATTTTACGTAAATAGTTTTTAGATATATTTTTGAAACGTTATGAATGCCTTGTATAATAAGCATATAATATGACATTGACAGCATTCAAGCATATTAATGTGAAGACACGTTTTAAAAGTACAACATTTCAATAAGGCATTATTATATATGATTTTTAGTCAAGAATGGACATAAACGCATTCAACCATTTAATTTAACTAATTTTTCAATTATAATAAAAATTAGTAAAACATTAAAATAATTGTTTATTATTACTTGCTTTTTTTTAACTCGCTAACACGTACGATTTTGTACGGGTATTTTTCAAATCTTATAAAATTAATTTAACCCACTCCCGATGTCATAGAGGGCTGAAACTCGGCACAGACACTCATTTCGGATGACAATACAATATCCTGCAATAATATTGGGACTCGAACATTCAGGTCGCCGTACACAGGCAATTTCAAGATGTTTAACATTATTTAAAATTATAGTTCATTTTCGATTGTTTTCAGAGTAATTGACATTTTAAAAAATAATGTGCTATAATTGATTGGTAAACTATTCTTGTAGTAAAATTATTTTTTAATATTTTTTAGAAAAACATGTTTATAAGAAGTTTTTTGACTTTAGAAATGATAAGCGTTGATACTACTAAATTTATTTCAAGTTTAAAATTAAAATATTTTTCCTTAACTGAAATTTTATTCGTATCGTATAGCTTATTTTACTTAACTGTCTATAGTTTGTAAATACTGAGAAGTAGTAGCGTATTCAAGATTTATCAATGTGGGGAGGTTTTAAGTAGGTATACAAAAAACATAATACATATATATGTTTTTATATTGTTATAATTTATTTATTAAATACATGAGTTATAATACAAATTTAAACAAAACAATTAACCGTAATTCTCTTATTACGTTGTTATATAAAAATAAAATTGAGAAGGGTTTCACAACACCCAAACCTCCTTGCCTTCGCATAGAATACTTTAGAATTTTACGTACTGAGTAAAATATAATAGGATAGTCTAATTATGAACTATTATTAAAAAAATTCATTTTCTCGGAGTTTTTACTAATATCAATATATTTAAACCTGAGTGGTGATACATCAGAATAATTCTGATTTGTTTGATCTGATATTCTGATATATAATTTATGGTTTTTTTGCTTGTTATAATTATTATGATGATAAAAATGCGTGAATTAAAACGCTTGGTCGGACATTGAAATTGGGAATTGTGGCGATAATACTACAAATGTAAATAGTGTCTTTTATCGTTGAATGGGTTCTTTTTAATGTAAATGGTAATCAACAAAAGCATTGTATAGTTAAGTCTAATTTTTACTTTGGACTAACATTAAGTGCGGCTTTTATTTCTACATTTTTAGATATAATTATATACTTTCATAGAAATTGGACCACTTTTTTACGAAAAAGTAAATACCCGTCCATTATAACTATCTAAAACTTGCTAGGCTTAAATTTTAGAAGTTTTTAAAGAGCTCTAATTTAAGTGATTCTCTTATGTAGTAAACATACTTAAATCGCGTTACGCGATGAAAATAATTGACCACACAGCTCATAACTGTATACAATAGTACTTAAAATATATTCTTCCAGGAGTGTCATTTAGCACGTAGGCCCAGATAAAAAGAAATATGTGTTTACAGTTATCTATGATCGACATCTGATATAATTCGTTCCGCAAAATCAGCAAACAGATGATTTGCCACACCTTTAAAATAAATTAATATATAGCGTAAATATTATTAATGCTAATACTTCTTTGCCCAATATTACATGTGTACCTCTATACCGTTAGTATATTGTTATTTCCCAAACACTACAATGATCAATAAAAAATAAACTAAATATTAATTTCAGTCAAGTTAGTTTATCGGTTTAATTTGTCTACAATTAGGTGGACCATGGAATTGATTATTCTGCCTCTAAATTCTAAAATAAAATTCAAGATGTAACTTAATTATTAAAGAGCAATAAATGAGCTGTAAGATTTACATCTCAATTTAACCTGTCCAATGTACACGGTAGACCACTGCGCTATATACACTAGATATCAATGATTTTTTAGACTATGTGGAACGTGGCGTTAATAAAAAGAAAAATAAGACTACATAGCATCCATAACAGCTATGATTCCCCGAACCAATGCAATGGTGGTAACGGACTAAATTTGATTAACAAGAGAAATCTAGGACATCAGATGATCATAGATGCGTGCAGCTTCTGTTGAAAAGATTTTAAACGAATATATTCAATCTAGTATACACTTCGCATACTACCAGCAAAACGAAGAAATATTAATGTTGTCTAAAGTAATAATATCTTTAGAAATCTGTTGCAATTTTCTATTGTATAGTTGTTACGACGGCGGTCGGTTATTAAATATGTTTGAAAAAAATTTATTTAATTTACTTATTTTAAGTAAACGCCCGGAAGCATGGCACAGTTTACAATAATATATAAAACCTTTAGTATACTACTTATATTGGTTTACGTGTAAAGCCTTCTTAGCTTGGATACAATCTGAAAATAAAAGAGAGCTGAAGAATGTAATCCCAAGGTAAAGGATTAACATCAGAATAATACATAAAACCAATTGGATAACTTTTCGAATTAAAAGAAATCACACTATTAACTTTGATTTTTTAATTATTCTGATGCTACCTATCACTAAACAAGTAAAAATAGTATTGTAGTTCGTGATAATATATTGTTTTTATCAATTTAGCTCTAATGGATATGAAAACTGAATAACGTCAACTATCATAAGACGAAAATTGTATATTTCCCAAATGTATCAACAGTTTTTACTTCTTAAAATTAAAATGTACAACAAAAAATATTCGTCAAATTTTTTTAACAACACTAAAGTACAAATTATCATAAAAAGTAAGTTTGTTATTCTCAAATAATTATTTATGTATTGTAGTCATTGGGTTTACATAAAACAATTATAAAAAAACGCAAGTTGGGCTGCCAGTTATTAATAAATGCAATGCAAATACAATATAGGCAGGCACATAACAAGTGTTACTCATAAACGAAAACATTTTTATAATATCTACTGTATTATATACTGAATATACATTAATACTAGAGCTAGACTGTATATTTTTTCCTTTTTTTTTATTAACCTTACTTGGCCTACTAAGAAGAACCTAATAAGAAATCTCTAAAAGTTCAGTGCCCTAGCATTATATCAACATGAGGCGAATTAAATGTTTAATTAAACAAAATTCAACATGAAAACTAATTAAAATTTTAAAACTTTAAAAAAGTTGAAATTTGACACATGCAAATCCTTTACTTAGTATTTAATTATGAACGTTTTTTTCTAGTTCTCAATTTTTTTTTGATACCAGTTTTATAAAATTTAATGGGATATTAACTTGAGCCTCGACAAAACAAATGTTATTATGAACTATCCAAAAGATGGATTTTAAAGTGCCACATTTCAGTTTTTAAAATCTTTTTCAAAATTGTAAAAACGTTAATAAGTTTTGAAGTTAAAATTGTTTAAATCAAAAATTAATATGTCCAACTCTAATAAAATACAAAAAAAATTTTTTTAAAACAATTACTTACAGTTGAGCAAGGGATCTGACATTTTGGGAATTCATTTATTGGAGTGGTTAAAATAAAAATGTTCGGCACAGTCTAATAAATAAACACAATAATATTACTTTTTAAATAAATATAAATGTATCGTTTTTTTTAAAAAACTGCATACTTAAAATTGATTTGAACTTAATGGACACTGACAATTTATTTTAAGAAATTATCGTTTGATCTAACAAAGTCATCATCGAGATTGACCCTATAAAAATTGTATTATTCATTTTATAAACAGCTAAAAAGAAGAAGAATTACAGTTGTTCATTTTTATAACCAAGAAATTATACATAGTTCATAAAACAATATTTCAGTTTTTGTACAAAAAATATTATACAAAATTAATGAAGTAGCTAAAATTTTAGAAATTGAAAATGATCAGCTTGGCAAATATTACAAATAATTTGGCACAAATGGGCCGAATGGGTTTTAAATGTATTTGTGAAAAAAAAATCTGTGTTGTATTGTTATTTTATGCTATTAGCTTCAGGCATAAAATTATCGTTAAAATTAACTTTGAAGGATTTTAAGGTTGTATTTTATTGTGGTTACTAAACGAATGATGCCAAAGAGTGTGTTTTTTTATTTATCTATATTTTGGCATCAAAATCGGATTGGTCACCAGATACTTCTCGGTCACGCCACATGACTTTTCAAACTCTTAAAATTCGGTGGCTAATTAAATGTGTCTAATGACCCAAAACAACGGGCCAACGTAAACAATATCTATGCTAGTAGGCTATGTTGCGTTTTTCTCCATAAGAAACCGTACTAGCACCTATAGACCAAGAAGAGAAAAAAAATATTCTACATAATTTTACCAATCATGCTACACACACATACACTATATATATATATATATATGTGGACCAAAACGCCAAATAG